CCGTTGCAGAGTGTTACGCGGTAGACGTTGGACTGGGCCGACTATTTGTCTGTTTTACTTATGTCAGGGGAATCGGTAGAATATTACGCGATTGGAGGGTATTATGATATTCATTTGCCATCACTCCATCTAGTGAGGGGTCGTTTTACACTGCGTTTGCATGTACGGGTTTGTCATTTTATTAGTATGATATAAATTGTTATGATTTATTACCAGTTTGATTTATTAGGAAACATATTTCCTAATGAACCTCGTCCTAGATAACAAATTTTAATTATATTCATGGATAGTATTTCCGATGTTTAATTTTACATTGCTTAATTATTTCATTATAATTATCATCATATCAGACTAACTATTCACTGCTGAACATAAACCGCCTTTTTTGGGAAGGTTTTGACAGTAGTTGCCACACTTGGCAAGCGGATTTGCAACCGCTGTTAAGCTTTAGAGATATTTTAAGAGGTACGCTGCTGCCCATTCCCCGCCCTCCCTTAATTGACTCTTACGACACCCATGGGAACGGAAGGGGTGGCTTATTCTATGCCAGGACTACACGGCGAATTATTTAGTTTCAGTAATATATTTATATATATTATATAATATTATAATATGTTTCCTATATATATTAAAACAGACCAGTTTGTACCTAATATAGAAAACTTATAAGGAACATTAATACTTCGACATATCATCATCATATCAGCCGACGGTAATAACCTTTTAGTGATGTTTTGAGAGGGACGCTACTGGTTCCCATAAATTTGCTATTAAATTCCCTTAGTTGATTCTTATGACACCCATGAAACAGAAAGGGCAGGCCTATTCTATATTAGGACCACAAAGCTAACATTAATAGACCTGGTACACTAAATGAGCATTTATAATTTTTTATTTCCTTTTCCAGTAGCAAATTTTTAATAAACTATGCAATTTATAAACTTACTAGTTTGTCAAATGCAGAGTAAGATGTATAGAACTGGATTTACTGGCTGCGGTTGAAAGGTCAAGGAATATTCTGTAGGTATCTATTGCGATATGGCTAGCAAATGCCTGCGTTTTCTATTTTCGTTATGACTAAGAGGTACGGCCTAACTAGAGGTAGACAAATTTAAATTGGTTTGGAAATGTGTACGATTTATAATCAGTTTGGAAATTTTGAAGAGCATCAATTAGTATTTATACCTCATGAGATTTTAATCTAGTAATCTAGATCAATTTGTATCTAGTTGAAACCCAAATTTGATTTTAGGAATTTTAGATATTATCATAGATGAACTTTTAACAGTATACTTTGTTATATCCATGGTACTGCTCATGTCTATAGGCGACGGTTACCACTTTCCATCAGGTGGGCCGTCAGCTTGTTTGCCATTCTAAGTTGTATAAAAAAAGATGACAAGTAAAATCATATAAATAAAATAACAATAATGTTCATAGCTTTGATTCTGATTATAAACTTCCAATTATAGTTCTCGATATAACTTTGTGTGTTTATCTAAAATAATTGATTAACTCTCTAGAATTGTAATCATCATTAACAAATCAGATCACCGTGCTCGAAAGCGGGCAAGTCGACTTATTATTTATAAATATTTATTTATTTTTTATATTACATATATTTATTATTAAATTATTTTACTTTCCCAGCACGTTAAATGTTTGCAAGTAAAGTAGAATCATAAAATAATATTTTCTTTGTATATTATATATATATGAAAATAATACTTTTTTTTAATTTACTTCAGATTTCTTAAAATTATTTACTGTACTTTCTTAAATAATAATCATAGACAAATTGAGACTATAAATAAATTATACTTAACCATTATAATATTAACAAGATATAAAATTTGTTAATTAAATTATTTAAACTTTATCGACCAATAAAATGTGGTACAAAAGGCGTACTCAATGCTATAGGCATTCTCTACCAGTCAACCTTTATGTACAGAGATACTCAATTGCGGCTTAAATAATAATTGATATTTTACTGTAATATGGTACATTACATACATAGAAACATAATGAATTATAATGATAATTTTTTATAAATCTATATGTCAGTCGAGGACTTGATGTTATAATGAAAATAAATACCTATATACAAATTCAAAATAGTATGAAGTAACCGAGTTTTATTACTTCTACAAACCAATTACCAGAACTAAATTATAAACCAAGTAAATGTAAAATCTAGATAAATATAAATTACATATACTATTATTAGTATTATTATACGTTCGATTTAGCGTTGTTTCGCAAAATGCTTTTAGTGTGCACATTATGGTATGCTGTTTAATATTCAAGCTGAACCATTGACATGGATGATACCTAAAGGTCGTATAGATACGATCTATGCACGTTAGAACTAAACGAAGCTGAAAATCCATTTATACAGGTTGAAGTAAAAATCAATTGCATATTTTTAAATGACATCTTATACGTTTAATATTTTATTTAAAATATTGAATACTGCATTCAATATTTTAAATATTAGACAATAAAAGTCGAAATACAACCTGTGATCGGTTGATTCAATATCTAATAAATATTGGGTACTCAATCAATACAAATAAAAAGATAAAATAAGAATTAAAATAAAAAAAAAGATTTATTATTAATACACAAGTACTCAATATATAGGACTCCGATATACGGTATTCAAATACAGGTTTTGGGTACATAGTGAGTACATGAGTAGTATAGCAAATATTCAAATGTTATTCCTGTGTTTATTACAAACTTTTTTGTTTCTATTCCAGATTTTTTTAAACATTTCAGTTAATTATCAATGGAAAAAATATTTAATTACTTACTGAACTTTTATTATCTAAATAATCTTAAGTCCGAGTCTTCAGACTCGAGTCGGGACTGGATTATTTTAAATGAGTAGCAAAATATTTGAATATCAAAAAGGCCGACTTGGCACATCACTAAAGTCGACAAATAATTTTATACCTCCCATACTAACTTAACAGCTGGTATCGTGCGACTCTCACTCACAAACACACCTATAAAATGATGCTAATGATTTAGTCATACCGTATAATAATTTAAGATTTAGTTTCACGACCAAAAATAGTAATTTTATAATCCTTATAAAAATATTATCAATTGTATAACAGCATATACCTAAATTCTATTAATATGTAGTTCTTAAAATCGTAAATCTTGGCTCATACTGAACGGATGCATATGTAGGTACTTATTTATAAATATATATAATATTAATCTAAGAAAATGTTTAACGATTAATGGATGGATGTATGTTTGTTACTCTTTTACACAACAACTACTAAACGGATTTGAATTTTATTTTTAGAACATTTCCCATTTATTTATAAAAACGTTAAATATATTTTGGCTATTGAAGTGTTTTGTCTTTTTTATTTGCACTAAATTCTTAATTTGAAAGAAAGTATGTAGGTTTCGATTTTTACGAACAAGACAGGGGGGGGGGGTTAGTTTTTTAATAGTAATACAATGAATAAAGTAGTTTATAATTAAATAAAAAAAAATTACATAAATAATTACGTACTATTAGAAGATAAAGTCCTTTTACATCTTAACAACTTATTCCACTATGGAAATGGGTTTTTACCATACAAGGAGAATACAGCCTACATTTTATTCTGTATTTTATTTTAAAATGTTGTTAATTAAAAACAGTTTAGAGTTGAAAATATGTTTTTGCTAATCTAAACGATTGTCAACTAAAAAAAGCTTGGATTTCCAATAATTTACAACAAGCACACAACTTGATACGTATTTCAACATAATATATAGCTTATTAATAATTCGTTACGCAGCTGTATTTAAAAACTAGTTTTTTATATTTTATTGACCTACCTTATTAATAATATGTTATAAATATTCACTACAGAAATAGATGTCGCACGCAAAGTAAATAGGTGTTTTTTATAAAAATCAAACGTACAGTAGGAGCTGTTTTATTAATTCTTTCACATCAAATTAACTCATAAGTATCACTTGAAATGTAACTATTTATAATACTCTATATGCTGTATAGTATAGGCTATTTTATATAGCATAAAAGTACGAAGTACGAACCGTCGATAAAAAAAATGTATGTATATGTATATATATATATATATATATATATATATATATATATATATATATATATATACAATTTACCTTAGTTCTAGCTTTTTCGTATTAATTTAGGAAATATAATTTCGAAATTAGCCGGCAATTAAACAAGCTCTTTAATATTTTTTTGCGACAACAGTTAACAATTGCCTCCAAATCCTCCTTCAGGCATTATAACCGTGAACATATTAACGTTTATTATATTATATTTTGTATAGTTGATTATAGGTATATAAAATTATAAGAATTTAGGACAGATCTGACCTACAACAATATAAAGTTTACACGCGTAACCGTGTGAACGCAAGTTCGCAATGCGGATCACTTCCGCTGTTGTTATGTTGATGTATTTTTGATGTGTCCAGTTAAGCCATTTTAAAATAAGACTTTCTAGATAAATAGATTAAAGAAAAACTTAATAAAACTTTTTTAATGTTTATTATTTTCTTAATATTTCATGTTATTATGAATATGAACAGCTACAGTAAACAGTTTTTTTTTTAATATTACACTTTTTAAATTTTCTTATATATCCTATGTGTGTAATTTATTACAAAAAATATTTTTTGCAATATTTTAATAAAAGAACAAGTAAATAAAAGATAATAAATATTTATACATGTTAATTAATACATGTATTAATTCATTATTTCTTATTTCGTCAATTTCAGTCAAATTAGTAATTATTTTGCAATTTGAAAATGTAGGTATTTAATATTTATTAATCTTACTTAAATCGATTACATTCTATTTTATACACTTTAATTTTATTTATTTATTATATTTTTTAATTATAATTTTTTTTATTTATTTAATATAAACTATAAATTAATTTTAATATAAATTATAAATTAAAAACTGAAAATAAAAACATCAAAACTTACCTTGAATACACGAAAAAAACACGACACAACGTCACACAAGCACCAAATATCGAACTCAACGTATGTCCGCACCACGCAACGCCAGGGGTCATAGTGCGCATGCGCGCTATCATCTCCCAACTCCCGCGCAGGCGCAGTGAAAGTGCTTATATAGCCTCCGAGATGCAACAGATGCCTGCATCTGACATCACATATCTGCAATATATTTATTGACTAAACAATCGATCTTGGATGCGTTTTTAAGGTTCTGTACCTTTAAAAGGTGACAATGGAACCCTTATTTTATCGTTTTTTGTCTGTTTGCTTTTTAAAATTTTTCTGCTTCTGAATAGATATCTGAAAAGATCAAGTGCGTTTTAAAATAAAATTAAAATTTCTAATTACAATTAATGAAAATTTACGATTCGTTGAACACATTTTTTAAAGGCGCATAATCAAAAACTACAAGTATAACAATTCCAGTTGTTTCAGAATTTAAAATTTGACATGAAAGATAAATTTGAAGACCAGGTAATAAATAAAACTTTATACCATGAGATAATAATATTGTTGTATTTTCGTAGTCAGGTATGTTTGTTTAGAACACTCTATTGTACAGTTAATATAAATATTAAACGATAAGGTACAGAGTTCTATAGAAAAGCATCAGTAAAATCGTGGACATATTCCATAAATGGACTAATAATATGTAAATTGGCGATTAAGTATTGACTGTTGTAGTTCTACGACTATTGTGGACGATTCTTCAGATGGGTAGTTATAAAAGTTGTATAAATCTTTACAATTATTTACTAAACCGTAATGAATAATTTTTTATATTTCAATAGATTGTAACTGTAACATGTATTGCGCACAATCTTTGAAATAAAATATTTATAACTTTTTAGTCATTATTTCCTGAAAGACTTGATGTTGTTCTATATTGAGGTCCTTACAAGCTCCTATTACTATAAAGTACGATACCTCATCTCATGTAAAGTAGTAAAATTGTTACTTTATAAGAAGAGTTATGTTAATATTGTTATTAACTTATTGTTGTTAATGTATGTTTTTGTGCAATAAAGATTATATATATATGTCCAGTAGGTTATCTTGCAAAACCTTAGAAGGTGTTTTTAAGAGATGTAAATGAAACAGTAACCTCTTCTGTGCTATTAGTATACCCTGGGGGATATCAGTGAGGAATGATTGGTAGGGATGAAAACGGGTCAGTCTGCTCTTTATGATGAATTAACCACGATGATTTTCAAGACGAATTGCGTGAAAGATGATCTGAGAAGCAATGTGCTTTTCAGTGCTTGCAATGGTACAATTCCAGTCAAAGGGTCAGGAAAAAGAGTTAGATCTATTAGTGGATGTTGACCTCAATTTAACAAATACATGTTCCGCTTTTGAGCATATATTTAGCCGTGGATAATGTTAGGATTATAAAAATGAAGATTAAATCATGCTGGTTTCGCTTTTTTTTTCCTAGAAACCTTATAAAGTATAAATAAAAGTGGCAGTGGATCGTATTAATCATATGTTAAAAAATTTACATCGAAAACAGAAAAAAATGTAAGCATTAACAGTTAATATTTTGTAAAAGAAGAAACTGGCTGATTGACTATACCATATTTAAAAACAATACATTATGCAGATTGTGACATATACGTAGGTTAGGAAGCATTTATTTTTATTTCATGTGCCATTAGAAATGTATCATAAGAGCACAGATTTGAAATCGCAGAATTGGATGCCTCTTTGACTCTTAGTAACGAATTCCAACTGAAAATTACGTTGACTCGATATATTGACGTGTGGTCACAGCATAGAACAGACCACCCTTTCCTTTCTCGTGGGTGTCGTAAGAATCGACTAAAGGAAGGCAAGGGATGGGCAGCAGCGTCCCTCTTAAAACATCTCTAAAGCCTAACTGCGGTTACCAACTCGCCTACCAAGTGTGGTAACTTCTGGCAAAACCCCCCAAGAGGGTGGCTTATGTTCAGCAGTGGACAGTTAAAAGCTGGTATAATGATGATGATATAGACATGTCCAGCTTAACTGTATACCATTTTGGTGGAACAGTTATTACTACAATAAAGCATAAAACTATATTTAGTTTTATGCTTTATTATTCCTTTTAATTTGATATATCTTATCTCATTAAGTGAATAAAATTATATTTTTTTATGGTCACTGACTTATATCCGTAAGAAGGTATCAATGAGTTAAAGGTATAGCTTTATCTTGTTGAAACTCTAAAAAGACAGAATAAAATAAAGAGAAAAATACATAAATATGTTTACAACTATAATAGTGAATGGGATAGTCAGAGGAATTTGTCGATTGTTACCATTGTAATAAACGTAATAGAATAAAAGCGTAACAATAAATTAATGACAAAAATCTTGATTTACTATCGCCGGTTTTCCGTCTCATACTCATATATCTTTCGTAACACCGGTGATATATCCAATCTGAATGATTAATTATACATCTCACACCTGACATAGTGAGTGCATTTGTAATAAATAAAGTGAAGATGTTATATCATAGACAATAGCATTGGTATAAGAACGAATCATCAGATCAGCCTTTAACTGTCCACTGCTGAATGTAAGTCTCCCCCTTAGGGGGTTTTGGCAGTAGTTGCCACACTTGGCAGGTGGATTGGCAACCGCAGTTAGGCTTTAGAGATATTTTAAGGGGGACGCTGTTGTCCATCCCTTGTTCTCCCTTAGTTGATTCTTACTACACCCACGGGAAAGGAAGGGGTAGCCTATTCTATGCCGGGACCACACGGCACGCGTATAAGAACGAATATCCAGGTAGAATTGTCACTCAAACCAGAAGGAGACTTTGTAAAAAGGTTGTCTGCTTTGTGGGGTACCTCTGTACCATTCGTGTTTTAACCGTAAAGCAGTTGTGTTTGCATAGCTGTGTTTCGGTTTGAAGGGTGAGATATGGCAGTGAATTTACTGGGCATAGAAGAATAACACTTTCGTCCTCAGGAATGGTATAGCATTAGGGGTATCATGGGCGATACGGTATACTCTGTTATGTCCATGGTACTGGTCATGTCTATATGCGACGGTTACCACTTTTCATCAGGTGCGGCGTCAGCTTGTTTCCCATTCTAAGTTGCATAAAAAACTCCCTTAAACTAAATAATAATAACAATGTTGGCGCAATGACGGTTCGTATCCATTACGCGTCTTATTGTGTTAGGGGTTGCAACCTGTTGCTTGTATATTGAAAGAATTTTGCAATTTTTTTAATGCAAATAAATTTGTGATAACTCTCCAAATTTAACCCTTCTTTGCATAATGGTGGAAATTTCCATCATAACATTGAATGTCCAAAAATTATATAAAATAACAAGATCACTTTAAGTGGATCGTGCTGGATACATTTTTAATGTCCATTACAGAAAAAAAGTTGCTGTCAAATTTATTTTTTTAACCATTTTTCCTTTAATTTTGAACATGAATTATATGATTACCTTGATTTATTTCACCCATAAAAAATCATGCAAAGAAGAGAGAAAAAGAGGCAAGATAATTTCTAAGATAAGTGTATATGTGTCGTTTCTATCCAATCAATTTATTCTTATAGTGTTAATGATAAATTGATACAATCGGATTCGGAAGCAGCCATTGAGGCAATATCGAGCTGACACCTTGTTGATTTTTATTGCAAGAGCAACCTTACCAAATGATGAATCTGTGTTTTATATTTAAATTATTCGATATTACCAATTTCCTTTGCTAGTAGTTTCTAATATTTATCACTATTACGCCATAATACCTAATAATATTTATTAGTTGTCTATATTACTTATATATCCATATTTATTCATTATCTATGTTTGGGTAGGTACATACATAAAATTTGCCAGTATAGAAGGGGCCACTCCTTTCTTTCATAGCATAGTATACAACATAGCATAGTAGCACAATAAAATGAATTTTGTATGCCAGATTCTGGTGAAAAGTGTGAACAATATTTAAATATACCAATACACCATCCTTTATACCACTTTTCAAACAAAATAAAGCTATTTATATTTATTTCATGTGGCTGTCGTAAAAGGTAACTAAGGGAACTAACGCTCGAGAGATAGGCATTAGCGTCCCTTTTAGTCGTAATTTATCATCAAAAACTTAATTTCGGTTATGAACCCGCCTGCCAAACGTGGCAACTACTGGCAAAACCTCCCTAATTGGGGGAAGTCTATGTTCAGCAGTGGACAGTTAACCACTGATATGACATATAAAATAGATTTTTACTAACCAGAAAAATAGTATCTAAGAAAAATTTGCTTCATTCAGATTTTCTTATTTAACCATATAAAATAAAAAAAAAAAAAACAAAATAGCAGGAATGAAAATAATATTAAATTTTATAATTTGTAATATTTAAATATATTCAACTGTTTCATCACGAATAAGTAAGAAAAACCCTAATATTTTAACTTCCAAATATCCTTATAAATTGGCCTACTTGTATTAGTAGAATAAAAATATAAAATAAAAACTCTGTAAATAAGGATAATAGTACAATCAATGATTAATTTAATGCAAATGAAAAAAATGTGCCGGACTTAGCAAATCAATTGGACTTGATTATTTCATAATTTCAACAGTACTATGGTAACGAGTGAATAAAAACCCCTTTTTATTTGATTACGGAAATACTATAGAAGATATAAGTATTATTTTTTATATAATTTTTTTATTGCAATTTACTAATGATTCAATAATATTGTAATTTATATACTTTTTTATAATATATTGATTTTTTTTATTAATACGATAATAACTGAATGAAAAGGTCAACCTAATATTGACTATAATGTTCTGTTTTCATACCTATATAAAAATATAAGCGGTATGTAAATAATGAATGCATAGTTATTACTTGGTAGTAGACTTAGTGGTAAAATTTATTATATATATATATAATATATGTGTATCTACATTATTTTATTAGTATTTTTTTTAAATGGATGATAATGGAATGGTAACCCCACCCGCGCTATCGGTATACACCGGCGGGGCACCAGTGAAGAATGATAGGTGAGGATGAAATAGGTCAGTTAGCCCATCAGGTAAGTTGCACTTTGTA